TTTGGATGTCATTTGGATTCATGGATCAATCCACCAATCCATTGAATCCAATCCATGAATCCACCAATCCATTTAATCCATTGATCCATGAATCCAATCCACCAATTCATTAACAATCCATTTACCACTTCTAGCCACTAGCCATTCATTTGTCAAGCCACCATCGGGCATTCAAGCCCTAATTTGCACAAAAATCCCACGAGTCTAAAAGGAGTATGGGTAGAGCTGTCAAAAATGAACCCCAACCGACTAACCCGTCCAATCCACCCGACCCATAACCCGTCCGTAACCCGTTTTGACAAAAAGTCAACACCCGAAGCCCGCCCGTAACCCGAAACCAATTGATCCGTAATCCGATCAATCCATAACTCGATGAACTCATTATCCGATCCATAACTATATTAAAAAATGGATAAATTTTGAAGATAATAGGAAGAATTAGACACAAATTCGTATCTCCACCACACATAACTATATTAAAAAATGGGTAATGTCTATTTTTTATCCAAACCTTTTTCAGAAATTTTATATTATCCAAATCTATTAAAATGATATTAATTAACCAAATCTTTCGTAATGCATCAAAATATTAGTCATTTTTAAGTTATCGTTAATAATTTTGTAACTCTTTTCTTAGTTAAAATACTAAAATTTTGCAATATTGACCTTCATGTGTCTTTTCCAAGTTAGTATCATGTTTTCAAGTCAATATTACTAACAAAATTGCTAACTGAAAGTTAACATTTGGCTAATTCTTAGTATTTCGATAGGTTTGGATAATATAAAAGAATCTGAAAAAGGTTTGGATAAAAAATAGACATTACCCTAAAAAAACCAATCCTTGAAAATCAATGAAATCCCCAAAATTAACGATCTAAAGATATATAAGTGCATAGTTTACCCTTTTTACTTCATTCACTTTTTACTGATTTTATTTATTTTTCATAAATTAATAAATTGACGATTCGAACTAGATGATAATATCATATTTGAGCGAACCGTTGTTCGACCCATGAGTTTTAGGATGAGATATTACCGTGAATATATAAAAAATTGTGAAGATATTTGAGTGGGTGATTCGGAATGATGTTCATAAGTTTTCGTGGAAATGAAGAGACACACATCTAATTCATACTATATTTAATTAAGACGATTCATTTCGAGATGTATAAGCATATAGTCTACTTTTTTACTTCATTCTCAAATTTTTACTGATTCACTTTTTTTATAAATTAATAAAATATGTGAAATTACAATCTCTCACCATAACCAAAAAAAAAAAAAATTATAACCAACAACAAAGCTTTTTATATACACTATTTTATTTACATTTAGTTTTTATACTAACAGAATGGATATTTAATTTGTATGATAAAATATTTTCATATTTTATTAATTTATAAATGCCACTCTCGTCGCACTGCCGGCAGCAGCCCCGGCCACCCTCGACCACCGCAGCGGCTTCCCTCCCCTCTGTGCCGGTACCCCGCCTCTCTCTCTCTCTCTCTCTCTCTCTCTCGTTGCTGTGTCGGGACTAGGGCTGTCAGTTCGGTTGCCGGTTAGCGGCTAACCGGCCGGTCTAACCGGTAACCACCGGTTAGCGGCTAACCGGAAACCGAAAAAATGGGTGGCGGTTGGTTGTCGGATGCGTTCAGTGGTTAGGCGGTTAGCAGAAAAACCGAGGCCGGTTAACCGGCTAACCGACGCTAACCGACCTCCAAGTTGCAGGCCTTTACAGGAATTCCATTCCTTTAATTAAAACCAAAACCCCAATTCAAATGCCACCAGAAACCCATTTACAGAGAGAACATTCATTCCTTCCTTCCAAATCCCCTCCCCCCCCCCTCTCTCTCTCTCTCTCCAATTTCTCATCTTCCCTTTAATTTCCCTTCTCCATTTTCGAAAACCCATTTCGTTTCCCATACCCTTTCCCCCCGATGAAGAACACGAAAGGCCACAAAACAGAGCACCCACCACCGCCGTCCCCTGCGCCGGTGATTCTTCGCCTCCTCCGCTACCCCTCCTTCCACCGCCACCACAACTTACTCTGACTCAGAGCCGGCCGAGCAAGAGGCAGAAGAAACTTCCTCCTCGGATTTGATTCCTTTCAACAACAACACTAGCAGCAATGGCGCATCTGGTTCGACGACCTCCTCGCCGCCCGTCGCCGCACGCCTCGCCGCCCGTCGCCTCGCGCATCGCCGCCCGTCGTCGCGCGCATCGCCGCCCGTCGCCTCGCCGCCTCGCCGCCCGTCGCCGCGCGCCTCGCCGCCCCTGCAGATCTGTTTGCATGGCCATGGAGAAAGAAGGTGAGAGAAGAAGAAGGAAGGAGAGAGAAGAGGTCTGATGGAGGAAGGAAGGAGAGAGGAGTAGATAAGGAAGGAGTGGTGGAGTTTTTTTTGTTTTATTTATTTATTTATTTATTTTTTTGGAAAATGTATTTTTTTCGGTTGGCTGGCTAACCGTGCCCTCTCTTCGGTAGGTGGTCGGCATCTATAGGAGGTGTCTCGGTTTAACCGATAACCGGGTTTTCGGTTTTTGGTTAAACCGAAACCGACCGACTGCCACCCCTAGTCGGGACCTAACTGCTGAATGTGGAGATTGTGTTTGCTTAATTTCCCGCCATTGCTTGCCTCCACAAGCTCGTACCTGCTAGTTGATTCATGCAATTGGGAGGGTCACTTTTCGTGTCAAATCATGTTGCAGTCAAATCTTGTTCATTCTTTGTTAAAGAATTGGACCAAAGATATGATTTTGGCCGCCATATACAACCATAATAGACATAAAAACCTAGATCTAGTAATTTTTTATTTATTGATTCAATGTGCAGTGGTATTGGTTACTATATGCAATGGTATAGATTGTTTATATTGGTAGTTTTCGTGTAATGGTATAGATTTATTTCTGCAATGATATTGATTGTTTATGATATAGATTGTTTATATTGATAGTTTTCGGGTAATGGTATAGATTTATTTATGCAATGGTAGTTTTCGTGTAATGGTATAGATTTATTTCTACAATGGTATTGTTTGTTTATGGTATAGATTGTTTATATTGGTAGTTTTCGGGTAATGGTATAGATTTATTTCTGCAATGGTAGTTTTCGTGTAATGGTATAGATTTATTTCTGCAATGGTATTGATTATTTATGGTATAGATTGTTTATATTGGTAGTTTTCGGGTAATGGTATAGATTTATTTCTGCAATGGTAGTTTTCTTGTAATGGTATAGATTTATTTCTGCAATGGTATTGATGTTTTTCAAAGTGGTAGCTTTTTGTCTAATGGATTGGTACTGATTTCATGTTTTTAATTTTTTTTTTTTGCAGAAAGATTGAGAAAAATATAGAAAGGAAATCTGGCTGGAGATTAGGAAGTGAGAGAAAGAGAGAATTTTAATTAATAGATTTTTGTAACTACCTAAAATGGAATTTATTAAAAAATTAATTAATATAATTTATTTTTTCATACCCAATTTACCCTTAGTAACCACGGTGATTACTACTTTTGTAGTAATCACCGTAACCTGTCCCGTTGTCATCCTAACCTAAGTGATATTTATTTAATGGATAAATTGCAAGATTGATCACTGAGATGACTAAAAAGGTTTACGTTTGGTCACTAAAAATATTTAATTCCATTCGTGGTCACTAAAATTGGTTAAATATATCAAGTTTGGTCACTCTCCGTCCAACTCCGTTAACTTTTGTTGATGTCACAGTCAACTCTCAAAGTTGACCGTTAAATATGTGACGTGGTATTTAAAAAATATTTTTAAAATAAAATTTAATCATTAACATTTTCCACATCATTTCAAACTATTATAAAATAAAAATAAACTTAACATGAGCAAACAATAATGAGATTGGAGAACGATGGAGTGGGGAGAACGAAATAGAAACAGAGATATGTTGCAGAATTGACGTCCAAAAGGAAACTGGCAGCCCTCCGACGCCCGCTTTAGTGGAAGCCATGGACGGGAGAAAGTCACGATAGCGCCGGAAGACGGCGAGATTGGGGATTTTTCCGGGATGAGCAGGTGGGAAGAAGGCCGGAATCGCGGTTGCTTCCCTTTCCCGCTCCAATGAAGCAAGCTAACTAGACCATACTAGACCCGGGGTGTCGGCGACGCAAACTTCTTAAAGCATGTCGGGGTCGGAGGCGAAGCAAACGATGGTGATGGCAATAAGACGAGGAGGTATGAGATGAGGATCTGAGCGGTGGGCAACATGGTTCCATTTCTGTGCATCTCCGCCCGGAAAAGGCACGTTTGCTTCGTAATCTTCCATCGAATCATCTTGATCACGTCGGGGTTGAAGGCAAAGAAAGCAGTGGAGATGTCGGAGACGACGGAGGAGACGGATGAGAGGTTTTTGATTGAACTGGAGTTATATGAAAAGACCTAAATTTAGATTCAAAAACAGTAACCAGGAGACGGTTTGGATTTGGGGATACTAGGAATAAAAATGTTATTTTTTATTTGTTAGTGAAAATCTAAAATATTAAATTTATTTTTTTAAATATTTTTTAATTGCCACGTCATACATTTAACGGTCAACTATGAGGGTTGACCGCCACATCAGAAAAAGTTAACAGACTTGGACGAAGAGTGACCAAACTTGAACTATTTAACTAATTTTAGTGATCATGAATGAAATTAAATATTTTTAGTGACCAAACATAATTTTTTTTTAGTAATTCCAGTGACCAATCTTGCAATTTACCCTTTATTTAATCATTCATTTATGGCCTAATCCTTATCCTTCTTATTTGGTGGGGATTGATTAGATGTGTCCTAACTCATATAATATTATTGTTTGTTTATCTGGAAAGAACTGTAGGAGATCTTTCCAAGATTAAAGTCATTATCTTTCTTATGCGTGTTGCATCAATGATAAAAAAGCAAAACTCAGGCACACACGTTATGGTTGTCATATATATAATTATAACGCTTCTTATGAGCAAGACTTATTGATGATGTATATTTTTTCTCCCTCTCAACATTCATAATAGCAAAAGCATTGCTTAGGACTGACAGGGGGAGGGATGGCATCACAAAGTCCTCTCCCACCGTAGCGGCTCTTGCAGTCATCCCAGCAAGCATCCAAGGTGGTGCAATCCCAAGTCTTGTGACAGTGTTTAGCTCCTGCTACCATCTTGTTTCCACCTTTTCAATTAGAATACACGCATAATTAATTGTACATAAAGAAATAAATTAACTAATATATGCATCCATACACATGATTGATTTGAAATAAAATTTATGAAATTAACTACAACGAAATGATAAGAGAGGTCAACAAGAACAGTGAGAAAATATTTTATCACTGTCATATGACTATTATAACATTTTTGTGGTACATACACCTGATTATTTTTCATAACTATTGTAAGAAAGTTTACCTAATGAGGTGATGAACAGAAGGAAGAATAAGAAGTATAGTGCAGAAGCCTTAGTCATATCTCTTGAAAATTTGACCGAAGGATATAATTTTATATTTTAGTTTATATCTTTTCAGTTGTATGATAGCCTTTGTATTTGGTTTGCTATTTATAAGAAAAATTTATTCTAGTATTCAACGCCTCAATAGAAATAATAGGCAACATCATAATTGCTTAAGGAAAAGATGGAGAAAGAAAAAGAAATAAGGCAAGATATTAATGTAAAAGTAATTGAGATAAGGTAACTTCGTAATTAATTTTTTTTATCTTCTAGTACCTTCCTAACATATTAATAATACAGTCAGGAAGTAATTGTTAGAGGGGTTTTCAGTAACGTGATTCGGTTGGTTACTCATCAATTAAATTTAACGGGATGTGTGAGATTTCAAAATGTTTCTGTATTAGGACAATAAAATCAATCGTGCTCTTCAAAAAAACATCCCCTTGATATATTTTAGAACAACAAAATTTTTGAGACTTATATTACTATTTTATACCACGGTGATAATGCTTCATAGAATATAAGATTATACCATGGTGGTATGGAAGTGTATCATGGTGGTATGATATATCATATTATCGAATACTTGTATTCATGATAATAGAAATATACTAATCACTATTGACCACCGTCTACCATCAGTTACCACCCTATATCAGGATGCAAAAAAGTCAAAATTATGATTTTACATAAAATAAAAAACTAATTTAAAATCGAAATCGTAGATTAAAATTATAAAATATTTTAAGGTTCATATTAAAAATAATTTATAGCAATAAAAATGCATATTGTGAATGAAAGTCAACCATATATAACTTATTTAGATAAGTTTGACTTCCAAACAGTGGCGTAGCCAGGATTTCGTTTAAGGTGGGTCCACCTAGAAAAAAAAAATACACATGATAAAATAGTTTTTGTTAATATAATCTTAAATTAAAATTTTTTGTTAAATTAAAATGCATTAGTAGTAAAAAATATCAAGAATATCATTCTGCGTGCCAAACAATTATTGATTTAGTTAGTTGTACACTCGTACTGTTTCAAATGGTTTTCTCTGTCAAGAACCGTTAGTATCAATAAATCGAGTTGTTGATAGAGGTTTAATAATAAATCCTACACCAATCAATAATTCATGATTTAGCTTTCGAATAATGTTCTTTGTAAGAAAAACATTTAGTATCAACAAATCGAGTTGTTGGAAGAGATTCAATAATATATATGATACCATTTACTAGCATGCTCCCTCATAAGAAAATCAACTTATACGAAATTGAAGTTTGCACAAATATGTATACCGTATTAGATTCAAACACAAAACTACTATTATCAATTAAATGTGACCTAATTTTCGATATCAATTAATTATCGTACCTAATTTAACCATTTTTCTCTCGAACCAGGGTGGGTCCCGGGACCCACCCTCTTACCCTCTCCCTCCGTCACTGCTTCCAAATAAACAGGGGCGGAGCTACAGTGATGGTGGGGTGGGCTCCGGCACCGGAAATTGTTTCATAAGTACAAATCGTTAAGTATATTGTGTAATGCAAAAATCATATAGACTGATGGTAAACATGCTTGGTTCAATTCCCAGTGGTCGTATGTTTTGCTGTTTACTTTACTGACTTCATTATTAATAACCACTTTGAGAAAAATTCCTTCTATATATCCTAATATTTTGCTTTTACTTTACTGACTTCATTATTAATAACCACTTTGAGAAAAATTCCTTCTATATATCCTAATAGTTTTTTTTGTTTTTTACTTTACCCACTTCAAGACTTCATCATTTTAATTCCCATTTATAATTCCTTAAAACCAAAAGAGAATCACTTTGAGAAAAAATCCCTTCTACATATTCTGAAAACCAAATAGAACTTTTGACTTTGAGACTTCATTATTTTAAGGGTGTGCCTACGGTGACATGCATGTCACGGTGACTTGCACTTTCCGGTCGACCTCAGTTAGGATTAGGTCGACCTCATATAGAATTCGGTCGACCTCATATAGGATCCGGTCGACCTCATATGCTGTTTCAGTGTAAAAACAGTTCATGGTGCCTACTTTGGATATTCATATCATACAATTGGCTAGATGGAAATTGAAGACTAATGACTTGTTTTGAAGCTGGAGTGTCCTCTACATATTGAAGTGATTGAGAGCTCGATAGGAAGTCCAGAAGACCATTTTTGAACCTCATCAAAAGGCTATGCCAAAACCGGGAAACTGCATAGAAATGGCTAAGTCTGGAAACGTGTTTGTGAAGCCTATTTTTGAGCTCAATTCGAGAAGCATGAATGCGAGTCGAGTCCAGGAGCCTCTACCACGTTAAATTAGGTATGTTTTTATATAAATTCAAGGAACTGGATGAAAGATTGGATATCTTTAAGGCTTCAAACAAAAGGGTCGAAGTTGCTACGGAGGCTGTTTTTCTGGTAGACTTCGAGCACAAGCAAGCTGCCAGAAAAACAGCCTTCGTAGCAACTTCGAACCTTTTGTTTGAAGCCTTAAAGATATTCAATCTTTCATTCAATGCCTTGCCTTTGTATAAAAAAATACGTAATTTAACGTGGTAAAGGCCCCTGGACTTGACTCGCAACCATGCTTGTCAAATTGAGCTCCAAAGTAGGCTTGACAAACACGTTGCCAGACTTAGCCATTTTCAGGCAGTTTCCCAGTTTTGACATATCCTTTTGGTCAGGTTCAAAAATGGTCTTCTGGACTTTCTGTTGAGCTCCCAAGTACTTTAATGTGTAGAGGGACACTTCAGCTTCAAAACAAGCCTTTAATCTCCAATTTCCATCTAGCCAATTGTAAGATATGAATCTCCAAACTAGGCACCATGAAACTGATTGTACACTGAACAGGTCGACCGAAAAGTGCATGTCACCGTGACATGCATGTCACCATAGCAAAGTCCTTATTTTAATTCCTATCTATATTTCCTTAAACTAAACAACGAAAAAACCACCCCTTTCATACTTTTTATTACTTTTATTGAGTGATTTGCCATAAGTAATTATTACTTGATTTAGATTTAATTATTTTTTGGTCCACCCGATTTTGAAATCCTGACTTCGCCCCTGCAAATAAACACAAATAAAAAGAGTAACTTGCCTAGTCATTGTGACAAAAGGAGTACAACTAAAAACAAAAAACTTGACATGGACTATTCCGAGCATAAATAGAGAAGTCGACATCCTAACCAAATTGATATTTATTTAATCATTCATTTATGGCCTAATCCTTGTCCATCTTATTTGGTGGGGATTGATTAGATTTGTCCTAACTCATATGGTATTATTGTTTGTTTATCTCAAAAAAACTGTAGGAGATCTTCTCAAGATTAAAGTCATTCCCCTTCTTATGTGTGTTGCATCGATGATAAGAAATTATAATTCAGGCACACACGTTTTGGTTGCCATATATATAACTATAACACTTCTTATTAGCAAGACTTATTGATGATGTATATTTCTTCTCCCCTCTCAACATTCATAATTGCAAATGCATTGTCTAGGGCTGACAGGAGGAGGGATGACATCACAAAGTCCTCTCCCGCCGTAGCGGCTCTTGCAGTCATCCCAACAACTATCCACGGTGGTGCAATTCCAAGTCTTGTGACAGTGTTTAGCTTCTGCTACCATCTTGTCTTCACCTTTTCAATTAACACACACATATAATTAATCGTACATAAGGAAATGAATTAACTAATATATGCATCCATATACATGAGTATTCAAAATAAAATATATGAAATTAATTAGAGTGAAATGCAAAGTGGGCCAAGACGAACAATAAGAAAATATTTTATCATTTTCCTATGACTATTGAAACATTTTTGGGGTACATATACATTATTGTTTTTCATAATTATTGTAAGAAAGCTTACCAAATGAGGCGATGAACAGAAGGAAGAGCAAGAAGTATAATGCAGAAGCCTTAGCCATATCTCTTGAAAATTTAACAGAAGGATATAATTCTATATTTAGTTTTATGTCTTTTTAGTTGTATGATAGCGTTTGTATTTGGATTTGCTATTTATAAGTAAAAACTCTTGTAGTGTTCAATGCCTCAATAGAAATATTGGTAGTAAAAATAAAAGAAAATAAGGCAACATCATAATTGCTTACAGAAAAGATGAATAAAGAAAAATAAATAAGGCAACATATTAATGTAAAAGTAATTTAGATAAGGCAACTTCATAATTAACTTTTGTAATCTTCTAATACATTCCTAGCATCTCTATACAATATATAATAGCAGGAAGGGGAAAACTGTTGCTCCATTTCAAATTTTCTGCAACGAGAGTGAAAGTAGGAAGGACATTTTAGTCTTCACAATTAATTTCTAAAACAAACTATTTTCTCTAGCATAATATATATTATGCTATTATTTTATATCTTAGTGGCTAAAATATAATGTATTTTAAAGTTATTCAATGGTTCAACCTCGACCAATCCAATTAGTCCAATTTTTATCATTTCAAATATATATATATATATATATAATTATTTGATATCGCAATGATTAAATTATAATGTATTTTTCAGGGAATCATTTGGTATTTGTTAGTAAAAAACTAAACAGAAAGATTTATTTGGTTATTTAGTAAAACCATTTTCTAGGGATACAGTAATGGTGGTTCCTATCCCAAATCGTGTTGTTCGTTCTTGATTTCTTTAGATTTTATCATGGCCTGGCAAAAATCAGAAAACAGAATGACAACAAGATGAAAGTTTTATAAAGAAAATTAATTGGCCAACGGGGCAAGTAAAAGCTAGAAACGTTTGTGAGATGCTCATTTTCCGAAAACCGGCGAGATAGGCGATTTTTTATTCGATTTTCTAGAATTCGGTTTATATAAAACTTACTCTACCTTATCATATTACTAGAAACAATATTGTTTCACAAGATAACAGGTACTTGATTTTGGTTCATAAGGCTGATTTTTTATTCGTTGCATCATTCATGTCTCTTTCCTGCTAAAATTCACTATTTTTATCACGTGTTTCCCAGTGTTCAAGAAGACGTGCCTAGGCGCGATTAATTGCTGGGCATGGAGGAAACGTGGAGAAGAGAGCTGGGCAACTGAACTGGGCGTACAAAACATGGAATCGAGAGGGAAAACGCCTAGGCGGCGATTAGGCGCTCGAAAGCGCCGTTCCCATCAGTTGGGCGAGCCTAAAACATGTAAATAGGGGGGAGTTTTTGATTACCCGTAACCCTAATATGCTCTTTATTTCATTCGACATATCTAGCAAAAAGGAGAGACCAGCAGCCACGACGAGCGACCACCGTCGTCCTCCACGCGAGCCACTAGCGCTGCCGTCCTCGCCGTCGGACTCACCATCGATCAACGCCATCGGACTCGCCATCGAACAACGCCTTTCTCGCCTTAGCCCTCGCCGTTCGTCCTCGCCATCTCTCGCCAGTCATCATCACAAAGCACAGCGGGTCGGCGTCCAGGTGAGAATGGTTTGGGATGAATTGATTCTCAATTGATTTTATAAGTTAAATATGGATAAATTGATGTGGGTTGACATTGTTTGTTTTGTGATGGGTAGTCGATTGATGGTAGCTAGGGATGAGATTTAGGGAATATAATGGAATTTAGTGTTGTTTGGTGGTGGTATTATAGATGCAGAGGGTGACTTGGGAAGAAGCAGGAGAAGGTTATGAGAGAAAGAAGAACAATGAAGTCAAGAGAAAGGGGAGAGTCGGCTGGTGAAGATTAGGCAATTTTTTTATTGAGTTTAACTCAGTTTGCACTTTGCACGAATGAATGATGCACTAAACTTAAATATCTACCATTTTTTTCGACGTTTAATCTCGCCTAGGCGACGATTAATCGGCCTGGGCGCTGGGCGGTGCCTTCTCGCCTAGATGGGGCCTAGCTTCTTCTTGAACATTGGTGCTTCCCAAAAAATATTAAACAACATTAAGCTATACACCTCATTAGCTTATCAAATTTCATACCTCACCTTTCTCCGGCCAACTGGCCGGGGCCATGCTAGTATTAATAATGTAGTCAAGAAGCAATTGGTAGCAGATTTGTTCAGTAACGTAACTTGGTTGGTTATTGATCAATTAATTTTAATGGGATATATCTCTTTTGTTTTGAGTCATATTTCAAATTTTTCTGCATAAAAATCAAATTATTCGTGCTTTTGAAAATAACATCCACTTTGATATATTTTAGAACAACAAAAAATTTGAAACTTATATTACTAGTCTTTACCATGGTGATAATGCTTCATAAAATATAAGATTATACCATGGTGGTATGGAAGTGTATCATGGTGGACAAACAACCAAGTCTTCTGCCCAAGTATTTACAACACTTCAGGAGATGTGCTATCTTCCATCAACAGTTGGAGCCATGATTCAGTGCTAGTATCGACGCCTGGATCAATTACTGCGCAATGTCCCACTTTGATACTACCGTTAAATCTCTCATCCATCCTGTCCTTACCATCTTTCGATAGCAACGCCCTTCACGCCACTTTCTGGCAGATTTGGCTCGAGCGAAACAAAAGAATCTTTCAGAACACATGGCATAATCCTCTCGTAGGTAAGCTTTCAACTAAAGCATGCATACCTTAAATTGACAGGTTAATGAGCAGAATCCAATGCTGGGTTTCTAAGTTGCTTAGCTATGTTGGAAAACTTCAATTGGTAAATTGAGTCCTTTATAGTCTTGTCCAGTTTTGGATGGGGTTATTTATGCTGCCTAAGAAGGTAATTAGAGAAATTGAAAAGATTTGTAGTGACTTTCTATCGGGGTTGGTCCTGAGGGTAAGAAGAGAGCAAGAGCTGCTTGGGACAAGCTCTGTTATCCACGAAGGAGGGTGGTTTAGGTCTGAGATATATGTGAAATTCCAAGTTTGGTCACTTAAATTACTAGTAAAGTTCATGTTAGCCACTAGAATTACTTTATTACATCCGTATGTAGTCATTTAAATTAGTTCAATAGTTCAAATGTGATCACTCTCCGTTAGTCTACATTAACTTTGGTTGACGTGGAAGTCAACTCTGACAGTTGACCGTTAAAAGAGTGACGTGGCAATAATAAAATAATAAAAGAAAATAAAATTTAAACTTTTTATAATTACCACCTCATTATCACAATAAATTAAAAATAAATTAAAAAACAATTATAATTAAATTGAACAAACTCTCATTGGCCTTCTTTAATTATATTGTAATAAACACCTTTAACTAGTGACAAAATTGTCATTTTACTATTACTAATAGGTTTGTAATAATAGTAATTCTTGTTTGCAAAATATACCTGTATAGTCATAAGTATTCCCTTTTGACAATAATATCCACCTTTTGCAAAATACACTAAAATTGCCACAATTTTTGAACTTGTTTGATTGATTTAGCCATTTCCATCAAGTACTTGAACTACGTTAATGACTCCATCAATTAAGTGGACATTACGCAGATGTGGATGCCACCTGGACAACATGTCAATCTCCAACTAAACTATTAAGCTACCTGGACGCGTCATGTCATATATCATTTTCAAAATAAATAAGAAATTACTTAAATTAGTATTTTCCATCAGAAGAGAAAGAATGGGTTCGAAGGGTTGTCTCCCTCCTCCTAATTTCCAATATCTCCCACCCCCGCAACATCCTCCCCATCACCAACCCGTCACCACCTCCCAAACCATCTCTACCTTTTCTCGCTGTGCATATCTGCAAAAAAAGCTTGAACGGCGTTTGATGGGGGAACAAAGGAAACCAAGACTTCTCGTCTTCTCCTCAGTTGCTTCAAATATTATTTGCATGCTCCTTTCGGTTTTGGATCCTCTCCTCCGCCATTTTAGTTATGTTGAAGACTGAAGAGTATATGGTTGGGTTTGGCGATGATAACACAAGGGCGAAGAAGACAATGGAGTGGGCGATGGATCTGCTTTTTTTCCCGGAGGGTTTTAGAGGAAGACATGGCTTTGTTGTATTTATTTTATTTTATGTAAATACAATAAGAAAATAATCATTTCCACTTGGCTTATTTTTTTTACGAAAAATTGCCACATCACCCAAAATCGTTAGTCCAGTTAGCACTTATGATGTTGACGTTGAAGTTCTTAACGGAATGGGTATTTTAGTGTATTTTTCCAAACTTGGCTATTATTGTAAAAAAGTGGATAGTTATAGCTATCTTTGTGCATTTTGCCATTTTTTTGACAAAATGTGTGTCACATTATCGTTAACGATTTAATGACAAACAGTTCGAAATTTTGTCACGTTGAAGCTACGCCGATGGCGATATTACGGCAACCATTGTGACGAACATGATTTGTCATACTATAGTTAAAATGACAAATGTAATATGAAAAAAATCTTTTGTGTCAGAATAGACCGAATTTGTTGTAGTGTCTGGAATTGGCTAACTCAAAACTAGTCTATAGTGTCAAACATCAATTTGAATCTGAGCAGTAGAGAAAGCAGCAAAAAGAGAGAGGCTTATGGATGATATGAGCTATGTTGAGGCGTCCATAAGATTAATGCATAGATCATGTTCTAGTTTAGCTCTAGATGTGGTTCTCAAATAGGGGAAAGCATCCATAAAGTAGAAAGAAAGGTGGAACCATAAGCAAATGGAAGGTTTCTTCACCAATTGACTTACTGAAAATAAGTTAGAAATTAAAATCTGCTACACATAATACATAATGTAACAAAAGATATTGTAATTTCCTAATTGATCCCACACGATGCTCGCTGCATAGAGAAGTATTGAAAAATGCTAAGAATATCGTGCTTCAATGTAAGATCCTCCAATGTGATGATTTCCCAGAGACGGAGTACACTATTGAAGCTGTTAATATCTTTGATAGGTTAGTTAACATCTTGGTTAATTAGCTGCGCGCTAATTGTCCCTTTCATGTTGATTTGACGGCCGGTTACGAGATCGGTCGACTTTCTCAAGTGCTTGAAGTTACTTAATTATCAGTGGTTGAACTGATTCACTCCATATTAATTAGTTTGTCAATTGCTCCAAACCAAATGCTCGCAGTGACAACCTTTTGGAGGTGTAAGGACGTACCACGAGCACGACGTCTAGTTTTCGTTTGGCTTACTGGCTATATGAAGTAACTAGTGTTCTACACAATTCTTCCACCCATGGAGATTAGCTATACGTATCCATTCTTGAATTAATGGTTTGACGTAAAACTTCATAAATTGAGTTGTACGTCTTTAGGAAAGGCCATGCATATATATAAACGTACGTACGTGCATTGGGAATCCTCATTACAAACACCGAAGTAAAAGAAAAAAAACCCCTCGAATCTCTTTGTTGCATCGTTACACACTTGAATCTCTCTGCTGCTCTAAAGCTTTATAGCAAGGAATTAAGGAGAAGATGGCCAACAGAGTCGACGACGATGGCCGCCCAATGCGAACTGGTAATTAACCCACCTAGCTACTATTATGATCATAATTTGCTAGCTACTTAATCAGCGCTAGTTTAATATAATTGCTTAATTAGTTGCTGTCCCAACTAATGAACATATTTATTAATTTGTGTCTGCAATGCAGGGACTTGGGTGACGGCGAGCGCCCACATCATTACAGCGGTGGTCGGGTCAGGGGTTCTATCCCTGGCTTGGGCTATCACCCAGCTGGGCTGGGTGGCCGGACCGGTCACTCTCATCATCTTCTCCCTCATCACCCTTTTCACCTCCACCCTGCTCGCCGACGCCTACCGTCACCCGGACCCCGTCACGGGCCAGCGCAACTACACCTATATGGACGCGGTCCGGGCCCATTTAGGTGGGCTAAAGGTCCGGCTTTGCGGCCTGGCCCAGTACGCGAACTTGGTGGGCGTCACCGTCGGTTACACCATCACCGCGTCGATGTGCATGGCGTAAGCTAACGCAACCATGCACCCCATCTCATTTTTACTTATTTATGCAACTCTGAACTAATTACATATATATAAAACCATATGTAGGTCGGTTCGGAGAAAGAAGTGTCTCCACGCGGAGGACAACTGCCACGTGTCCACGACGATCTACATGATCATCTTTGGCAGCATCCAGCTGATCCTTTGCCAGGTCCCCAACTTCCACAAGCTGTCGTGGATCTCCATCCTCGCCGCCGTCATGTCAATCACCTATTCCTTTATTGGATTGGGTCTCTCCGTAGCCAAAGTTGCTGCAGGTAATTAGATATATTCATGTAACAAAGTTTAACTTATGTTAAATGTGAAATATATACATACCTAATGAGCTCAATTGAATGAAGGAGCTGAGGCGACAACGACGTGGCCGACGGTGTCAGAGGCGCATAGGTTGTGGAAAGTTTTCCAAGCAATTGGCAACATTGCCTTTGCGTATGCCTACTCCACCGTCCTCATCGAGATTCAGGCAAGTAGTTGTCGTTTCATATTATCCCTTCTCATGGTTAAATTAGTAAAAGGTTAATTAGCCTTCTATATATATATATATATATATTTAAGGATTGAGTAATCAATAAAGAGTAACGCTTGTTCAGTATTGACTAAGACATGCATGCATGAACGCAGGACACCCTGAAATCGAGCCCGGCCGAGAACAAGACAATGAAGCGGGCGAGTTTTGTGGGCATCTCAACTACCACAATTTTCTACCTGCTTTGCGGCTGTGTGGGCTACGCGGCGTTTGGAGAAGACGCGCCGGGCGATTTACTCTCCGGATTTCATCAACCGTTGTGGCTACTCAACGTAGCAAACGTCAGCGTGACTATCCACCTCATCGGCGCCTACCAAGTAGGTCCAATTTAATTAAATTAAATGAAACCCCGCAATGAATTGCCTTCTAAATTCTAGTATATATATTCGTTTAATTAATGATTTATATTATGTGTGTGTGACGGCAGGTGTTTGCACAGCCGATTTTCAGCTTGGTGGAGTCCAGCTGTCGTCAGAGGTGGCCAGAGGTCAAATTCGTGACCACGGACCACCAGATTACCATTCCGTTTCTGGGCGGTACGGGCTTCCACGTCAACTGTTTCAGATTGGTTTGGCGGTCTGCTTACGTGATCGTGACCACAGTCTTGGCTATGCTCCTCCCCTTCTTCAACGTATTTCTGGCCCTTATCGGAGCAGCATCTTTTTGGCCTCTGACGGTCTACTTTCCGATCGAGATGTACATCGCCCGAGCAAAGCTTCCAAAATTCTCCTTCTCCTGGATGGGCCTGCAAGCCTTGAGCTTGGCCTGTCTGCTTGTTTCACTGGTCGCAGCTGCTGGATCAGTGGAAGGCCTGATCCAGTCACTCAAAGTGTATCATCCTTTTAAGAATTAAGTACAATTAATTAACAGAAGCTAAGTACGTGGTAGTATTGAATTTGTTCTATCGAGTATCGACCACCAATTTTGGCTGATTGCATTTTGCACCGCATTCATAGCTTTTCTCTACGCTTCTGTAATCACCCCCTATCAAGAGAAACAAACTAGTCATTCTCTAGCTTTCTGCAAATATCTCTGAGGTCGGTCAATTCAATCGCTTAGCTCCACAAAATTTCTCACATATCACATTCTATCTTTCCTGGTCATAAATCCCTCGCAAAAAACCCCCATCTTCAGGGTGTTGAATGGTAATTTGCAATAGTAATTATCATCACCACTCTATGTCCCATTGCCATAAATTCAAGGAGACATATACATTATCTCATGGGTTGAAACTATCCATCAAATTATGGAAGCCAACAAGTCCACATGGTGAGGAGAAGCTTGAACAACTAAATAATAGTGATGATCTGTAGTAGACATGCCATATGGAAATTAATGAATCAATTATGATGAAGGTATCCTTATGCAACTTGATAAAATAATGGCTAGTGTAAAATAATGCATGTGCCATGTAATTGTATTTTGTATTTCTATACAGTGAGTGTGAGAAAGAGAGCTTGTAAGAATAAACAAAGAAAAGAAAGAAGCTAAGCTTCTGTACGTGTAAGGCAAGAGCCAAATGAATAAGGCCATGTTTGTTTCTTGAGTATTTACTAAAAAGAGTGATTAAACACCAATTGTTTCCTTTGTATTGATCCAAAATTACTACTACTTCCGCTAATACCCAACAAATTTGGTATCAGAGCTTCTATCCTTCAATTCTCTCAAAAATCCCCAACTTTCTAGTCTACACAACTTTCTCAAAAATCCATGGCAACAACTTCATCAAACACCATGTTTGCTACCTCCTCAAATCAAATTCCCATTTTCGATGGAGAATTGTACGAGTACTGGAGTGCCCAAATGAAGCCTATTTTCATCTCTCGAGATCTGTGGGATATCGTCCAAGAAGGATATGAAGATCACAAGACGAGGATGAAGGCTCGAAGAAACGAGCAGGCAAGCAGACAAAGGAGTATAAGGAGAATGCCAAGCAAAATGCTAGCGCCTTGAGAATCATTCAGCAAACAGTGAGCAAATCTATTTACCCAAGAATCTATGGCATCAAAAAGGCCAAAGAAGTTTGGGATGTCTTGCGTGAACAATTTCAAGGTTCTGAAAAGGCAATCTCCATCAGGCGCCAAAGTTTATGGCAACAGTTCGACAACTTGATGATGAATGAAACTGACACCATCAAAGACTTCCACTCACGTGTTGGGGAGACAGTCAACCAGATCAAAGCCACTGGTGACATCATAGAAGAAAGGAAGTATCGTGGAGAGAATTCTCCGTAGCCTATCATCGAAGTTCGAGCATATTGTTGTTGTCATAGATAAAACCAAAGATTTGGCAAATCTACCGATGAGCGAGTTGATGGGCTCACTTGTAGCACATGAGCAAAGAACGAGCCCCTTCACCAAACCGCCATTGGAGCAAGCTTTCCCGTCAAAAGTCAACATGGCTGAAAGTAAATATGGCAGATCGGAGCAAGGCCAGAGAGGGGGAAACTCACAAGGAAGAGGAAGAACCAATTACAGAGGAAACAACAGACAAAATCATCAACAACAAAGATCGGGCTACATCGGCTCGAGTTGCATAATTTTCAAAAAGGCAGGTCATGCTACAAAAGAATGCAGATTCAAGTGCACCAAGTGCAAAATTCAAAACCACTCCCAGAGAGATTGCTGGTTCCAGAACAAGCAAGAAGAATACGAGTCAAGCGGCACCAAAAATGAAGAAAGCAATATGGTGGCCTTATCATGCTTGAATGGTGAGCAAAAATCACAGCTTCCCTGGATGGTGCATAGTGGATGCAGTAACCACATGACTGGAGATCTGGAATCCTTCACCGACATCGATGACCAATACCGCTCTCAAGTCAAATTGGGAGACGGAAAGAAGCTAAAAGTGGAAGGAAAAGGCACAGTTGTTGTATGCACAGAAGAAGGCAACAAAACTCTCATTCGAGATGTTTTGTATGTTCCGGAGCTGACTCTCAATCTACTTAGCGTGGGACAACTGATGCTGAAAAATTACAAGCTATTGTTTGATAATGGCGTGTGTGAGATTATCAACAAAGCTGACAATTTCATGGTGGCCGAAGTCCCAATGACTTCCAACAGAATTTTCTCTCTTGCTATGTCACAAAATGGTGAAGTAGCATTCAAGAGTGAAAATCTGGATCACTCCTTCCTATGGCATCTCAAATATGGTCATCTCAACTTCAAAGGTTTCAAATTGTTGAGACAGAAAAATATGGTGGTGGGACTTCCCCAGATCAATAGAGAAGACAAAATCTGTGAAGGGTGCATATATAGCAAAATGCATCGTTTACCATTTCCAAAGACATCTTGGAGAGCAAAAGTGCCACTGGAGTTGGTACATGCAGACATATGTGGCCCAACCCGAACACAATCACTCAGCAGTAAAAGATATTTTCTACTATTTGTAGATGACTTCACCAGAATGATATGGGTATTCTTTCTGGAGCAAAAGTCAGAAGGTTTTCCCAAGTTCCTTCAATTTCAAGCAGTAGCTGAGAAGGAACGCAGCCATCAGACCAAAACTCTCCGAATAGATCAAAACTCAGTGCCACTTCTTCTCATAAGATCACCAAGAGAGCCCTTCAGTTCATGTACAGAGTGACCCAATCGGCCCATCCTCTGCATCTGGGACCCGTGGTGGCAAAGACTCTTGCCAAGTCGGCGAAACACCGCACAACCTGTTATGTGCCCCCCTGATCTACTTGCTGGCCCAACACCTTGAGATTGACCTCACCGGTCTCACAGACATCACAAGCACGGTTGACTCCTTCTCCCTCACCAGAAAAACTATCAGAAACCAGGGACTAGTGGAGGCCGATGAATACGAGTGGGTTGAGGGTATTTCCCCCAACAGAAAAGCACGTATTAGCTAGTCAAGTTCCTATTGCATGTGGCAAATGCTCTAGTAGGATGGACTTTGTAGAAGAGATAGAGTCATGCTATATATGAATCATTGGTTCATGATATGAAGGGTGATGTGTATATGGAACTCGAGTATGCTTTCTTATTTAATAAAACATTACTTGTATGCGTTTATAAAACTTGAAAACCCCCTAAACAACTTTTACTTTTCATTGCTTGTTTTCTTTTGATGCTCACTACTTGCTTTACTAAAAAATAACCTAAAAGTCTTTACTATTCTCCTTTGATCATGGATTGTACGGTGTGAGTAGTTATTTATTACAAGACCTTATGGAATACGACCCTATGACATCCTGGACTTTTATCACTTGTATGAACAAAACCATCATCAATAGGTATGCATAGTTGCATCCAACTAGACAGACAAACACGAGGCAAAGACATATCATATAAGTGTTTTTTTCCCTATCCAACCTTAAATGATATTATAAGAAATATTAATAGCACTTAATAGATGATATAAGCATCAAATGGTTAAGCTATCTAATGATATAAGCATTGAATAACATAGATTAACAATGACCAAAGCATCTCATTAAATCATAGAAAGTAGATGCATTAAGCAGAACAGAATTCCTCTCCTATGGTTGCTAACTCGAGACCACTAGGGCCGAGTGTAAAAGCTATAGCCTAAACCTCTATTTATAGTACATGGAAGGAGGGACATTCTAGAGTATGTTCCTCCTAAAATTATTCCAAAAGAGTCCTCGTGCCACTAGGATGTTGATTGCTTGACTTCGGGCCAAAGTAAAGCTATTGCATAATCTTTCGTGGACCTGGACCATATGGCCCAACAGCAGTCACCACCGCCGTGACATTGCTTCCTCCAAATGGTCTAATTTTTAGTGGACAACTCTATTTTGCGCTTATTTACATGCTCCTCAGATTTTAACTCATTTGGCTTCGTTTGACCAATCAGCTTTCATATATGTGGTTCGTTAGGCCATCAAATGATCATTCGAAGTACAAATGCATCTACGTCTATCTTACGCACATCATGAAAAAATATAATATTTATATGAAATAGTGTGAAATGTACTAAAGATGCATCGATTGAAGAGAAAAATGTATCAAATTTGGGAGTGATAAACACTATGATCTGGGCACTATCAACTGGTTAATGCGTGATTTCATTTCATTTCATGTGACTAACTAATCAATTAGGGACAAGTAAGTAAGGATAACATGACCTATCAACTTGATATGACATTATAAGAAAAACTAAGATAGCATATAATAGATTATATGACCATGAAATATCATAGACATCTCATTAAATCACTGAAAGTTATGTATGAAGCATCATGAAATTCACATCCCTAAACAGCAAAGTTTTAGCTACCCATAAGGAAGATAGATGATAACACCATCGATGATGAAGACATCTCCATTCTGACAACGCTTCTGGGTGAAGACCCTAACAAAGTCCAGTAGGAATTCTTCCACTTGATGGATGCTAACAAGATCAACTTCATGGAATACATTTCTTACTAGGAAAGGCCAGAACTTCGGATGAACTTATGTCAATCCCCACCTAGTTGTGGGTCCTAACCTCGAGCCTGCTCCTGTTTTGACTTACTAAATCTAGGATAAGCTTATATTTATAATACAAGAAAAGACAAGGTATTTGGGCGTTTTCTCCAAAAACTCATCCGAAACACTCATTTTATGAATTCAACTTGGATCCCTTGACTTAGGGACAAAGAAAGAACCTTTTAGAATAATTCAAAGTCCTTGGGCTATCAGCGACCACTCGGCAGTCGGACCCGTAGTTTGTTTCTTCATCGATCTAGGTTGATTGGTCCACAAGATATCTCCTAGATGAATTTGGGTTGAATCGGACTCGTAGGCCCGACGACGACGGAACGACATATAAGCCCATCATGGTGGGCTTCCTCCATTCATTGTGATTTTCCCAGCTTTTCTAATTGAACTTGCATCATCTTTGTTTTACATAGGGTTTTAAAATATTATGCACTTACGAAATGGGTTCATTGTGATATCCATTTTCGACATATTTTGAAATATTTTCGACATACAGTCAGAAAGGGTTGACCACTAGTTATCATCCTAGTCCCACCTAGTACACTCTATACCCCCTTCGTTCGAACTCATATTTTGAAAATTTGCATAGAACGAATGAATTCATCGTGATCTATTATCAACGAAAATTCTGGAAAAAATTTCAGAACCATATATATCATCCAGGTATAGGGTGGTAACCAGTGGTAGATGGTGATTAGTATATTCCTACTATCATTATATACAACTATTACACGATATGGTATATATATTTATACTGCCATGATACATTTTCATACCTCCATGGCATAATCTTAAATACTATGAAGCATTATTACCATGGTATAGACTAGTAATATAAGTCTCATATTTTTTTCCTAATACATATCAAAGTAGACGTTATTTTGAAGAGCACCAATAATTTGATTATTCTATACAAAAAATTTAAATTCTAACTAAAAAAAAAGAAATGTATCCCATTAAATTTATTGATAAATAACTGACCAAGTTACGTTACTGAACAAACCCACTGCCAAATTACTTCTTGACTACATTTTTTTTGGTCGGATTGTTGACTACATTATTAATATGCTAAAAAGGTATTCAAAGATAAATAAATTAATTATTAAGTTTCCTTATCTCCGTAATTTTTACATTAATATATTGCCTTATTTCCTTTTCTTTTTCCATCTTTTCCATCTTGTCAAAATTCTCTTATTTGTGAGCAATTATGAAGTTGCCTTATTAACTTTTGCTTTTCACGTCAATATTTCTATTGAGGTGTTGAAGAGTACAAGAAACTTTTCTTATAAATAGCAAAGCAAAGTACAAAAACTATCATATAATTGAGAAGATACAAATCTAAAATATAGAATTATATTCTTCCTGTTACCTTTTTTCAGAGAATGGCTAAGTCTTCTGCACTATACTTCTTGTTCTTCCTTCTGTTTATCGCCTCATTAGGTAAAATTTCTTACAATAATTATGAAAAATTATGCACCACAAAAATATTATAATAATCGTAAAACAATGATAAAAGATTTCTGACTGTTCTTTTTGGCCTCTCTTTGCATTTCTCTTTAATTAATTTCATGAATTTTATTTTGAAACAATCATGTAAATGGATGCATATTATTAGTTAATTTATTTCCTTACAAAATTAATTATACTTGTTTGCTTATTGAAAAGACGGAGACAAGATGGTAGCAGAAGCTAAAGAATGCCACAAGACATGGGATTGCACCACCACTGATAGCTGCTGGGATGATTGTAAGAGCCGCTACGGAGGGATAGGACGTTGTGACGACATAACTATTCCTTTTGTTCCTAGACAGTGTTTTTGTTATTATAAATGTTGAGAAGAAAGGAAATTATCCATTATGAATCATTCGTACTAATAAGAGAAAATTCATAAAGTAATAATATATGTTAAGTGGTAACCCAAATGTGTATGACTGAGGGTTTTATCATCGATGCAACACAAATAAGGAGAATGACTACAATTTTGAAAATTTCTCCATATCAATTTTGAAAATTTTGTTAAGTGGTAACCCAAATGTGTATGACTGAGGGCTTTATCATCGATGCAACACAAATAGGAACTGTAGTTGCGGGAAAACAAGAGTCGCATATGCATAAAACCATAGTGAAAGTAGGAAGAGTTTCGCCTGGTCCATGGTTTGCCTCTTAACAATCTTTTACTTTGATTGTCTTGCTTAGTTTTTAATTTTTTATCACCTTTCTGTGATAACAATATAAAATTTTTTCGCCCCCCCTGAACGTCAAATCTAGCTCCGCCCCTGTTGTGTGTGGTTAGTTAATGCGCTCTCTCAAGATTCGGGGAGTTGGCCATGGTGTAGTGCCTTGACTCTCGCTCTTATGCGCAAGATAATCGACTCTTCGTGGCAGCTGAAACTGAAATGGATTCCACGATGCCTCAACTTCCAAGTGGAGCCCGTTCCCATAATCTTTCTTCATTACCTCCTGATTGGCTTACCATTCTTCGGCTTGTTTCACACCATGTTTGATGGCCATATTCTTGTATCTCCTATCTGGGTTTGAATGAAAGATCCATCTCATTGTAAAAAAAAGTATATGAATTATTAGTTATTTGACTTAAAACATTGCGTAAATAGAGAAGTTCTCCTCTCCTACGTGATTCTCTTTAATCATTCATTTATGGCCTAATCCTTATCCTTCTTATTTGTAAGGAATTGCTGGTGACCTTCCCAAGATTAAAGTTATTCTCCTTATTTGTGTTGCATCAATGATAACATTCACAAGTTAGGCATACACATTTCGGTTACCATATACTAGTAATGGGTCCGGCCCGCTGGCCGGTATAGTAAAAAATACTGAGGTAATAGTGTAATACGATTGAAGCAATTTGAATTCGTAACTTTGACCATTCCATCTGCAAGCATTGGTCCAAATTTGAAAAGTATGAGTTTGGCAGAATCAGGGAACAGTTATATGCTGGTGGTGACAATTTCCATTGGCGGCAACGAAAGCGAGAGACGTGTAGAATTGAAATAGACTAACAACCTAAGCCTCAATTCTTCATTTTGTTGATGATAGTTTCACTTGCTCTTGCAAATCATTTTTTCTTCATTCTCCTACTTTTTTCTGAGTGAATTTTCCTCTTCCCCTCACTCTGTGGGAAACCCGACCACGGGTTAGAGTGGGAGGGCCGAACTCGGCCAAGAGGGGAGGGAAGAATGGCAAACTTGTAATTTATGCTATTTCGGTTTACTGCTACTTAAGGCTACAACTCATTAGTTTTGGGAATTAAGCAATAATAATCAGAAATTCTCAAATCCCTAATCTCTCTTCTCTCTCTTGTTCTTCCCCAATTCTCCAAATCCCTAAATTCTTCTCTTCACAATCCCTAAATTCCCAATTGGGATTTCTTGTGTCTTACATCTGGTATCAGAGCCTGCGATCGTCGATGAGTTCTTCCCAGCTCTCGAACTTGTCATGGGCAGAACTGCGGGACAGAGCTCGCCGCATCGGCCGTCGTTGGTTGCCTGCTGAGCCGGAGCCCGCGCTCCCCGACGCGGTGCCCCTCACTGTTTCCCCCACGGCGGGCCTCGCCGTCCCCGCCACGGCGGTCCTCGCCGCTGCCCCCGCTCGCGTTCCGCCTCTTGACGCGGCCGCGCTGCGCGCCTCTTATGTGCCGCCTGCGCATCGCCCCGCGGCGGTGATAGACCGTTATTTACACATGTTTTTACCCCTGCTCTTACTCCGTTTAAGGTATTGGTTCTCGTGTTTTAGGCCGATTTCACGCTAGGTTGTGCTTGTTTATGATATTTCAGGTCCTAGTACGTGAATGGACGCTTGGGAGCGAGTTTAGGGTCGATTGGACGAGGATCGGACGCATGGCGAGGTTCTGAGGAAGTCGCACGGGCACACCCACAACCCGCACGGCCGTGCAAGTGACCAGTTTGGCCGTGCGGGATTGTGCGAGAGCAAGCACGGGTAGAGCAGAAAACCCGCACGGCCGTGCAAATGACCAATTTAGCCGTGCGGAATTCTGCGAGGCCGAGCACGGGCACAAGTGAGATCTCGCACGGCCGTGCAAAGTGCAACCCTGGCCGTGCGAGATGGCTGAGGATCGACTCAATGATACGCTGCGTTTCGACTCGCACGGGCAAGATGGTGAGCCGCACGGCCGTGCGGCCTGCCCGTGCGAGTCGGGAAATTCTGGTTTTAAGCAGATTTCAGCCAGAACAGAGGAGGATTGGAGTTTTTGGAGAGAGAGAGCGGTTCCTAAAGAGAAAAAGCGACGAACAAGAGCCTCCAAGTGCCCTAGCTTAATCTTCAACACCATTGGAGCTTGGCTTGAGCTTGGAGAAGTGCCGATTCAACGTCCAGGATCAGAAATCCATCTTCACAGTATGATTTCCGCGTCTGATTCTGCTTTTGCTTCTTTCTCCATGGAGTAGTTCTCCCATTCATCTGGGTGTGGGAAACCCTAGTTCTGTATGTTAGGTTTGATTGTATGAACCCAAGTACTGTTTCTATGAATTGGTTATATTCGATTGAGGTTTGAATGATTGAATGGCATGAATCCTGATCAAATTCCTGTTGTTTCTGCTTTAACCTAGAATGATAATATCTGCCTAGGTTGATAGAGTATCCTTAATCGAAGGTAGTGAATTGGTGACTTTAGTCGAGGAGCCAATTCACTATTCTGTACCGAATTCAATTCGGTAGTGGAGGTTTTGTTCATAGGGCCTCAATCTGTTTACTCCGGTGGAGGTTAGTCGCCCGCTAGAGACTCAGATTGAGAGGGTCTGAAGACCTTTAGTCGAGACTTCAGACTGTTTGAGAACCTTCCGCAGAATAACTATCATAGAAATTGAACTTGGTAATTACAATCCGGCTTAACTACATACTAGGGGGAACCATATCCGGGTGACCTCTCTTAACCTGAAAACAACCGTTTAGTTGCTTTGCTTGCTTGTTAGTTTAGACCTTCACTAAAGTTTCATCGCTAGATAATACGAATTCACTGAGTAGTCATCACATCTAGGACCCGGGTTGACATTCAAACCCAAACCCGCTATACTACGCTTTAGGAAGTGGTTACACTTGGCCAATTTCTAGAGTGACGGTAGGAGTGAGTCAAGTTTTTGGCGCCGTTGCCGGGGACGGCTAGGTTGTTGAAGAAAAGTGATTTCTGTTACTCTAGCATTTTCATTTTCGCATTTAGTTTTTGTTCTTTCCCACTTGTGCCTTCACGGGTTTGCATTGCTTGATTGTGTGCAGATAGTGCATGACCCGTAGCCAGTCGGGAGGTTTACTGCCGTTGGATCCAGAGATTGAACGCACCTGCAACCAACTTCGGAGACAACAGCGAGCTAGACTGGCTACGGTGGAGTACAGAGACGGCCAATTGAGCAGCGAATCCGAGGACGAGCACGAGATGAAGGGCGAAGACATCCCACAACCGGGGAATGGTCGACAGGCTCCCCCGGTGAATCAGCATCCACCACCACCGCCGGGTCCCACCTTGGAGTACTACTACACTCCACGGATTGCTGACATCCGCCCGGTCATCCTCTATCCACCCATCCCAGCGAACAACCTCGAGATCAAGCCATGCTGGATTCAACTCATTACATCATCTATCCAGTTCCATGGTTTGAAGGATGAGGAAGCCCGGGCACACCTTTCCCGTTTTCTGCAGCTGACGAACGGGTTCAAGCTGAATGGTGTTCCGGATGACGCAATCCGCCTTCACCTCTTCCCCCATTCCCTGGCGGGAAATGCTAAGAGGTGGTTGGAGACCCAGCCCCCTTTGTCCATCACTTCTTGGGACGATCTGGCTGACAAGTTCGTGCACCGGTATTATCCGGCATCGAAGACCACGGAGATTCAGCGGGAGATCACTCACTTCCGCCAAGAGCCAGATGAGTCACTTCGTGATGCATGGAAGCGGTACATGGGATACTTCTGGCAGTGTCCCCATCATGGCTTCAGCGATGCTTTCACAGTAGGAAACTTCTACAGCGCCCTCACTCCAGACAGCCAGAGGGTGATTGACTCTCTATGCTCAGGAGGGGACATTCTCACTAAGACTCCACCCGAGCTGAACCAGATGATCAGTACCTTGGCTGCCCGCGATCATTCTTGGGGGCAGAGCAGCAGAGGCAGACATTCCCGGGACCGTGGTGTGCACGCTATGGAGGCCAGGTCCGGGTTAGAGCAGCAGGTGGCTGAGTTGGTGCAGACATTGAAGCAGCCCAACAGTCTCCTACCGGGCCGAGGTGTAGCCGCGCCTCCAGTGGCACAGTGTCAATGGTGTGAGAGCCCGAATCATCGGGTGGAGGATTGCCAGGCTATGCGGGAGTCCTCTACTCCCCAAGAACAGTTGGCCTTCATCGCCAATGCTCGGCGCCTCGATCCATACAGTAGCACCTACAATGAGGGATGGCGCCAGCATCCCAACTTCGCTTGGAGTAGCAACACCACTAAACCACCTGGTTTCCCGGCACCGGCAGGTGGTTTTCCGCAGAGCCAGCCTCCCCAGGCTAGACAGGGGCAGCCATTCCAGCAGCCTCAATGTCAGTATGCCGAGCCAGCAGTAGCGCCAGCTCCCGATAATCAGATGACCGAGCTGAAGAACATTTTGGCGGCATTCATGACCACCAGCCAGGCGAATTTCACGAGGGTGGACCAGAGCATAGCCTCACTGGAGGTAGGACAGAGGAACCAGGGTGCCATTCTGCAAGATTTACAGAACCAGGTGGGTGTCATAGCTCGCCAAATTACTACTCGGGCCCCGGGAACTCTGCCTGCCACCACCATCCCCAATCCACGGGACCCGCACGAGCAGTTGGATGCCATCTTCACC